GCGAAAACGGATGAGGCCTGCCTCGCGAATGGAGTGCGCCTAAGCGTTCACACAGCAAGGAGGGGAATAGGTCTGCACGAGACGCCGCCCACTGGGCTAGCTATGGGCGTATCTGTGAGCCGTTCGTGCGCGACGCACGGGGTTAAGCGCCTGAAGCGGTAAAGGACACACACACCTTGATAAACGTAGGCCCCGCTTTTTGCATCTGGCTCGTCAAATAGCCGTACCACCAGACGGCGCCCCACTTGTCCCCATGCAGCCTGTCCTCGGGCCTACCAACGAGCAGCATGGGTGCAGTGAAAAGCACCGGAAAGAAGAGCCAGACCAGATAGATGAATCGCCTGGTGGTAAGGACGGGCTCCCAGACATAGTCGTTCAAGAACACGCATATGCGCACAATGATGCGGGTGTCGGCAGGCTCAGCGGGCGAGAGGATGGTTGGTGAGATGTCTGCGGTTGAGGGACATGGCGCAGGACATGGAATGAGGGTCGGGGAAGCGAAGATGGCAGGGAGAAGCTGAGAGGGAGCGCCGGGCGAAGCGTAGAACGCAAGACCGCCAACGACGGGAACAAGCCAGAGGAGTTTTCTGCCGAGAAAGGGAATGGGGCCTGGAGCGCGTGTAAAGAATTGAGTCGAGAATGGCCGCGTCGCGGGCCGTGTGCGGAGAGCGAGACGAGAAAGCGAGGAGGCAGTATGCCAATGGGAGAAACCGGGCGGGCGGGCGGAGGCAAAGACAGCGTGTCTGAGGCCTAGCGGGAGGGCAGAGAGACGGAGGGCCATGGGGAGAGTCTACGGATCCATCGTTAGCTCAACACAGCGGACGCCGATGCCCTCTCCGTTCATCGCCTGTCGTCATTCGCCACACGTGATCTCCATCCACCACGCGTCACTGCACTTGGCACTCGCGCAACGATCGGCGATCGAGCGAGATGCAGCTAACTGTTACTGTGCGTCCATCCTGTGCGTACTCGTCACACACGCCTCCATTCTTCCGCGTCAATCTCCGCTCGGTCGCACTGTGCCGCTCGCCATCCCTCAGCCCTCCTCGTCTCATTTCGTCGCAGCTGCCCCTCCGAGTCCGCTGACACAGCATGCGCACGCGAGTCGTCGTCCCTCACGTCAGTCGTCCTCTACGCTCTCGTCCTCGCTGGCCACGACCATGCGCAGCCGCACGCCAGCGTCCGCATGCCACAACGCATTCTGCTCACGCCGTCCGTATGTGCTCACTTCTTGCCGTCCGCGCGCTTGAATGCAGATGCCTCTCGCGCCATCGCGCGAAATGGTCGGCCGCACAGCAGAACGCGCTCGACCCGATGGTGCTGACCGGCACTGACGCCAGACGCCGCGCGACTCCAGAGCCGCGTTTCTGTCTGCAGGCCACCGGTGAGTGCGCGCGCAACCAGAACGCGAGACGATGGCTCACCGATCCGTGCCCAGGGCCCGCGGAAGACGTCGCGGTCAGTAACGTGCCGTGCGCCATGCGCCATGCAATGACCTAGGGCTCGCCGCGCCCGCGCTCCACGTCCACCGGGGCAGCCGCTGTCGACCACAAGGCTCGCCAGGACAGCGTCGACGGGGGCGCGCGCGAGCACACGACGGGTGACGCGGGAGCAAGACACGCGCAAGAAATCGCTCGCACGCGGGCACGCGGCCGAGCCGTCAGCAGCGCGCACCGTGGGCAATGGCGCATGCGCGTGCGACGGACGACGAGCAGTAGACAACATCCTACCCGCGTCAAGGAAACGACGACCGGCACCGCGAGCGCGCCGCCAGAGGAGCGAGATTCAGACGCACAAGGCGGAGACTGCAGGGCACGGCGAAGACCTCGAGCAGCGTCCGTTCGCCCCAGCATCCTGTGCACCCCGTCAGCTGCAAGTAACGCGCCCGCGCCGGACGCACAGCCTGATCTCAGGGAATCCTGTCCGTGCGTGCCGTCGTTGTCCCGCGCCATCGCACTCACTTCGCGCGCAGCACACACAACGCGCGTGGGTACGCCGAGCGTTCCTTTATTCCCGGTCAGTCTCTACTCACACGCGTACATCTCTCGCTACCTGTCTACTGACCATCTCGCCTCTTTCATGTCCCTGACAGCTCGCTTCACCCGCCGTCCGCCGTCCGACGACTGCCCCAGTGCGCCTCCATCCACCCGCCGCCGCCGCCGGTGCGTCAGAGCAGCGACCAGGACACGAATCGTCCGCGGTGTCGGGCGCCGTCGATCGGTCACACATCGCCCGCGCCGCCAAACTACGTCTGACGCACAACGCAACGGACCGGGTTCAGCAAAGGATGATCTCTCGCACATTTGCTTTGCCCGCGCTTTGCGTGCGCTGAACAGCTTCGGTAAGCTTTGCGTCTGTACAGCGTGTCCAGGCACGCAGAAATAACAACGCCACGCTGGGCCGAGCCCGGGCATAGTCGACATAATCCGTCGGACGCGGACGCACACATTCACACCCGCGCCGCTTCGTCTTCTCCCGCGGCGGGTATCTAACGGCGGTCGCTTGACGATCACGCGGCCGCTATGTTGATGGAATGAGGCCGCGCGCAGCTACCTGCCCGACGTCCGGACAGCGTTAATCGTCTCT